GATGAAATTAGTGTTTCTCAAACGACGGATTTAACAGTGCCATTTTGCAAAGAAACCATCTGTCTAAACGATATATTTATAAGAACCTTTTAAAATTGTAGTTTTTTTAACGATCGTTCCAAGTAAATGTTAATACATTTTTCTTGAACATTTCTTCGTGAAAACTACATATTCGAACACAAGTTATTAGTAAAACGGGATCTTGATTTTTGCATTGTTTTCAAATATTTCTCGCTGGACTGACTACAACAAATATTTCTAAATGAAAATATGGAGTTTTGCGAAGTTTTTGACATAATTTTTCGTAACAGCAATCCGCAGCAACTTCCTCCCTAGTAGAATGTGAGTGGAAACGTAAAAGTTACGCGAAAGTTGGGAAATTTTTAATAAAAGCGTTCACACTCGTGAACATTTGTAATTTAACAAATGTGATAATAAATGATAGTTCAATCCGGAGAAAATTTCTGCTCCTTTCGGTTGCTCGACATTTCAAACTAATTAAACGAATGCAACCGGCGTCTAACCAACATTGATGGAAATACGTCGCAAGACACGTACGTTAAATTATTTAATTAACCTAATTATACGATTTATGAAAGACGAAAGCGAAAGAGATGCGAAAGCTGGCGACATTTATATGGTCCACCTTGTACGTGATTAATAGCTAACTCCGCAGGAACTGGACGATTAATCTTAATGAAATTGATTCAGTATTAAACATCGTACGAGTCATATTCTCTACGAAAGTGACACGATATAAAAAAAAAGTATTTTCAATTTTATTCTTTTCTATTTTCCGATACATTGTCTCACACGTCAGAATGATTTACGATGATTTACTAAGCGATAACATTGGCGAGTTAGATTATTTCTTTATTCCGTAAATCATTTGAGGAACGAACGAGAAAGAGAGAGAGAGAGAGAGAGAGAATAAGAGAAAGAAGTTTATGGAAATGAAGGGATGAAGGATGCATTTCGTGTGACAGAGCTAATTTCGAATTCAGGATCAGAAATTGAGAATCAAGACCCTGAGAGCTTTCCACGAAGTGGGGCTCTCTTGAAGATCTCGTATTGTGAATTTTAAATCCGGATTGCAGAGTGAATATCGAATCGGTAAACGAAGATAAACGATGAAAGTAATAAATGCTGTCACGGTGTTATTAACAATAAGACGAGAGAACTGATCGATAACGGCTATCGATCATGAACGATAGTAATTAATGCATCGTACGAATTAACGAATAACTAGAAAGTTAAAAATAAAATTTCAACACCGAGGGAGCAATTCAAAGTCATCCGATTTTGCATAATTCCTTTGTATTTTGATGTAAATCTCTAAATCGTGTAATTTGAAGAAGAAATCCTTTTCTATATCGCTCGTGTTTGACCTGAATCGATGACAAACTATCGACCGAGGCACACACTTGAAAAATAAAATCATTCGATGCGAGTTAAATCAAAATTTGCTAATTTGATTTTCATACTGTTGCGTTTCGAACCAAAAAAAACATATTTCTTGAAACGTCGAGCGTTCTCGAACGTCAGTGGCCGATCGAAAGGGGTGTGTTCCTTGGAGCTTTGATTTTTTTCTCTCCCCGGCCTCAATTACACACTTTTATGCCCGTTTTACGCTCGGGCGAGCATAACGCGAAGATGGATGTATAGCTTTCACTTCAATTATTCGCGATGTTTGTGTTATTCCATGTACACACAATGAGTTTTGTTTGCGGCTTCTCCACACGCAAATATCGATCGAAAACCAACAATTCTACGACTTTCTTCCGGCTTCCATTGGTAACTTTCTTTCACAACAAACAAACGCAAAAATCCAAGCTGTTCGATCAATGGACTCGCGCGCTTCTAATATGCATGTAATTAACTCTTTCTCATCATTCGTCCTATTATTTTTTACCACTTTTAATGTGTGTAATATTTGGTATTTATAATATTTACAATAATGCTACATTTATATAGAATGGTTTAGTACAATTTTAATGATTTTTATGTATGAAAAAAAAAAAAGTTTTATTACATAAATTGAGTATAGATTGTACAACAAATACTTTTCAATTCCATTTCGCAACTCGAGCTTTAATCATTTTCTTTTGTTAAATTCTTTTACCGAGAAATGAAATTTCCTTAAAACGTTGTCTATCTTATCTTCGGATACTATCGTTATAGTATGGATAATTACAAAAATTATTGTAACTTTACATCGTCTGGTGAAAATTCAATGAAACGAAAAATTCCACGATTAAGTAACACACTGTCCTAAATTAGTTATAATTTCCAATAACAGCTGTCGAGGGTTGAACATCTCCCTATTGAAACCTCTCGCATTTCCAGGATTTCAATTTCAAATCTTAACCACCCTCGTGCGTATATTCTTTCGTATTCTATACGCTCCCGATCGAACACGGTTTCTTTTTTTTTTTTCTTTTTTTCGTTTATCCATTTATTTACGAACGATATTTATTCATCAATATTTATCCACTCACGAACTCTCTTTCGATTCCGTGGCACGATTTAGAACAAAGTGGATCGAATA